GCTGACGTGGGAGTCCTGGCTCTTGTAATTCGTCGAGAAGGTGAACGGCATATAACCAGGCGCTACACCCCATGTTTCACCTTAGTTTGGCTAACTCACACTTTACGTGTTTGACTTTTGTAATCGATTCGGTGGACAAACATTTCTTTGTGGGAGGCGTCACCTAACGTGTTCATATGTAGTAAAAATTTTCTGGACTGCAGATCTTTTGTTTACACAGGACATTTGAGTTTAAAGCCAAGTGAATGTTAGCAACTACACACAGGACGCTATAAAATCCTTCGAGGTCAAATACGAACTTGAGACTTTTAGACAAAGATAATATTCTGAGGTTGAAGACACAATAGCTGTCTGAGGAATGTGGCATCACGTGATTATAAAGGTTCAAGACTAATTATCCCTTGAGGGTAATCGCAAAAGAGGGGACAGCAAATGGCCCCCTGAAGGAGAGGGTAGTTTAAAAGTAAGAGCACTGGAGGCGGCGGCAACAGGGGAGATAGGTCGCCACAGCTCAGTCGCCAAATTGCATGGCTAAGCTTGTGAATTGTCCATTTGTCAATATCGCCCTGCAAGTTGAGTTTAATACACTGCTATTAGTGAGTCTTATGTTAATATTTTACGACGTAACCGCCCCCTCCACATCGCTCAATAAGAAGCTGGCCGGTAATGGTGGACATTATTGGCCAGGATTACGAGCAGCTGAAGGGATACTGTAATGACCAAGTAGAAGCCAGCGAGTACCTGAATGCGGCACATTATGATAACCTCTTAACGAGATCATATGGAGGGACCGGACGCTTGCTTACCGCGGCGGCAAGTCTCCACTTATTGCCTACTGAACGTTATTGATTCTGCCAAATTATGTTGTTGACGGCAGTAAAAGCAGTAAGAGAGTCGTGGGTGTGATCCCCACGCCACTCAGCCCGAGATAGATGGTCAGAGTGGGAGACCACGACGATATTAATCATGCTAGTAGTGGACCACCTGAGTGCATTATTAAACTCTGCCTCATTTGACAGGCGCCACTTGCCAGGGATGAGCCTCAAAGGCCAGTGGTCGTCTACAGGAAAAGAGTATACTGGTAGAATTAAGAGGACTAAGGCAGCTTTGAATTGATATGTTGAGGGGAATTGTTGGCGAAGTTGTTCAAAGAGATATTTTTCTCTCTTTACGAATCGAGGTCAAGCATATGATGGTTAAAACAAGGAATTCTGAAATCACTTGCTGTATGTCAGTAAAGCTAGAAGAGACCTCCCACTGCGACCCAGATGCAAATGTTCACAGAGAATCCTTCCTGCCGTCTCAGCAATGCCAGCCATTGCTCGTATCTCAATTACTGTAATTTTTCCTATATTTCCGTATATTTAACCACCAATAATATTGCTTCTACAGGTGAGGTAGACACTAGTGGCTTAAATCATTGGAAATATTTTGCTCGGTATGTTCGGTGTGAGGACGGGTTGAGAAGATACAGGTAGGCAGGGAGATAAGTTGGCAAGGAAGTAGGTAGGAAAATAGAGAGGTAGATAAACATGTATGTCGACAGAATAATGGGGAAGTGGATTAGCAAGGTAGTAGGTAAGAAAGCAGGTAGGTGGGTAGGTAAGTTACCTGGAGGTTACCTGGAGGTTATTCCGGGGATCAACGCCCCCGCGGCCCGGTCCATGACCAGGCCTCCCGATGGATCAGGGCCTGATCAACTAGGCTGTTACTGTTGGCCACACGCAGCCCAACGTACGAGCCACAGCCCTGCTGATCCGGCACTGACTTTAGGTATCTGTCCAGCTCTCTCTTGAAGGCAGCCAGTGGTTTATTGGCAATTCCCCTAATGCTTGATGGGAGGCTGTTGAACAGTCTTGGGCCCCGGACACTTATGGTGTTTTCCCTTAGTGTACCAATGGCGCCCCTACTTTTAATTGGGGGGCATTTTGCATCGCCTGCCCAGTCTTTTACTTTCGTAGAGAGTGATTTCTGTGTGCAGATTTGGGACCATTCCTTCCAGGATTTTCCAAGTGTAGATTATGATATATCTCTCCCTCCTGCGTTCCAACGAGTACAAGTCAAGTGCTTCCAAGCGTTTCCAGTAGTTAAGGTGCTTGACAGAACTTACACGTGCAGTAAAGGATCTCTGTACACTCTCTAGATCTGCGATTTCACCTGCTTTGAATGGAGATGTTAATGTACAGCAGTATTCCAGCCTAGAGAGAACAAGTGATTTGAAAAGTATCATCATTGGCTTGGTATCTCGTTTTGAACGTTCTCATTATCCATCCTATCATTTTCTTTGCACGTGCGATCGTGGCACTGTTGTGATCCTTGAAAGTGAGATCCTCAGACATTACTACTCCCAGGTCCATAACATTATTTTTCCGCTCTATTGTATGGCCAGAGTCTGTAGTATACTCTGTTCTAGTTATTATCTCCTTCAGTTTTCCATAACGGAGTAGTTGGAATTTGTCCTCATTGAACATTATATTGTTTACCGTTGCCCATTGGAAAACTTTGTTTATGTCTTCTTGGAGGCTAACCGCGTCCTCAGCAGATGACAGCCTCATGCAGATCCTAGTATCATCCGCAAAGGATGATACGGTGCTGTGATGTATATCTCTGTCTATGTCTGATATGAGGATGAGGAATAAGATGGGGGCGAGTACTGTGCCTTGTGGAACAGAGCTCTTTACTATGCCAGCCTCCGATTTAACTCTGTTGACCACTACTCTTTGTGTTCGATTTGTTAGGAAGTTGAAGATCCATCTCCCCACTTTCCCAGTTATTCCTTTAGCACGTATTTTATGGGCTATTACGCCATGATCGCATTTGTCAAATGCTTTTGCAAAGTTTGTGTATATTACATCTGAATTCTGATTTTCTTCCAGTGCATCCAAGGCCATATCATAGTGATCCAGTAGTTGTGAGAGGCAGGAGCGACCTGCCCTGAGCCCATGTTGCCCTTGATTGTGCAGATTTTGGGAATCCAGGTGATTTGCAATCCTGCTTCTTAGCACTCTTTCAAAGATTTTTATGATGTGGGACGTCAGAGCTATTGGTCTATAGTTCTTAGCTAATGCTTTGCTGCCACCTTTATGGAGTGGGGCTATATCCGTTGTTTTAAGTGACTGTGGAATTTCACCCATGTCCAAGCTCCTCCTCCATAGTGTACTTAGGGCATGAGAGAGGGGTTTCTTGCAGTTCTTAATGAAAACAGAGTTCCACGAGTCTGGGCCCGGGGTTGAGTACATGGGCATGTTGTCAATGGCTTTTTCGAAGTCTATCGGAGTTAAGGTAATGTCGGAAATCTGGCATACATTTATGGAGTTTTGAGGCTCATTCATGAAGAAATCATTTGGGTCGTCGATCCTCAGACTGATTAGTGGTTCACTAAACACAGAGTCGTACTGGGATTTCAATATTTCACTCATTTCCTTGTCATCTGTGTAAGTCCCATCCTGTCTGAGTAAGGGCCCGATACTAGATGTGGTATTTGCCTTGTTTTTGGCATATGAAAAGAAATATTTTGAATTTCTTTCAATTTCACTAATAGCTTTAAGCTCCTCCTGTCTCTCCTGGTTCCTGTAAGAGTCATTTAACTTAAGTTCGGTAGTTTCCACTTCCCTGGTCAGCGCCTCCTTTCGTGTATCAGATATTCTAGCACTCCTGAGGAGCTCAGTGACTCTTGGTCGTCTTCTGTAGAGGGAGCGTCTTTCTCTCTCCAGTTTACTCCTGCCCTTCTTCTTTCTTAGGGGAATATGCCTGGAACATGCTTGAGCTTCCAGGAAGTTGATCCTTTCAAGGCACTGGCTTGGTAGGTAGATAAGGAGGTAGATATATAAAAGATGGGACGGTGACAGTGGAGCAACTGTAGGAAGACTCTGAACGAAGTAGTAAATACGATAATATGGAAGAAATATCTTGCTGGATAAGGAATATTATGATTGTTTGCCCGAACTGGTATTTCACTGTGGCGAAGATAAAAGTAAATATTATTTTAGCGCAGAAGAGACAGCAACAATGTGATTTGCATAGTGTGAAGTCTTTTAAGTGTGGGCCGATATATGGTGGGAAGAATGTGAGTTTTCACCGTGGAATATTTTACTTTAATACTGACTCCCTGGCGATAAGTACTCTCTCTCTCTCTCTCTCTCTCTCTCTCTCTCTCCTCTCTCTCTCTCTCTCTCTCTCTCTCTTGTTTATGTGTGTGCTTTTAAATATTTAAACAAAAGGTTTATCCTTATTTTGATTGCTGGTGATTGGCAGTGTGGGGAGATGCGAGTGAAGGCAGACAAGGTGCGGCGAGAGGGCTATTGTTGTGGCGGTGTTGAGTGGGTGTGTTGCCTGGGTGGGTGGGCAGTGTCCTGACTGCCAGGGTGGGTGTGTTTCTTGGGTGAGTGGATAGTGTTCTGACTGCCAAGGTGGGTGTGTTGCTTGAGTGGGTGGGCGATATGTTGGTTGCCTGGGTGGGTGGCGGGTCCGGTATAGGCTCCCACATGCATCAGGTGACACCCCCCTAGGCTGCTGCTGCCGCATGCTTGTCACCTGACACGCACCTCTGGACGCCGTGGACCTTACCGCACATAATTTCCCTCACCTTAGCTGACTTGTAACAGGACAGACGGGGGGTGGGGGAGGGAAGCAGCCACACTGCTTTCAAGCCATCTCTAGCAGCTATATCGGCTCAACTGACAAGCTACAAGTGCATCTTCGAGTGACTGATTATATATACATATACACTATATATATATATATATATATATATATATATATATATATATATATATATATATATATATATATATATATATATATATATATATATATATATATAATGTGGGTTTGTTTGTGTGTATGTATAATGTTTGTAATTGATAGATTTTATTACGGATAATGTTATAATTTTTTCTTGCCCTGCGGCTTTAAAGGTCTTACTAATTATTCTTGTGATTTTGATAAGTTTATTATATTTTAATTTTCATGGTTTTATAAATATTATTTATTCTTTACAGGCGTTGCTGGCGGGCCCAGAGGACGCCGCAGAGTACGGGGAGGACTCCATCGACGCTGAGAGTCGTGTCCTCCCTGATATGGTACTCGACATCCCCGGAGCACACCTCTTTGTCCTCACCACGACCAGGGTAAGCACCAGTATTGCTCTGCTTGCAAACTGTTACGTCTTTCTTTGAATGTAAATAAGACACACAATGCGAGTTGTGGTATTTTATATGTGAAGACGTTTCACCCAGAGCTAGAGAGTGTAAAGAGAACCTTTACTGCACATATAAGTTCTATCAAATACCTCAACTACTGGGAACGCTTGGAAGCAATTGATTTGTACTCGCTGGAACGCAGGCGAGAGATATATATCATAATCTACACTTGGAAAATCCTAGAAGGTATGGTCCCGAATCTGCACACAGAAATCACTCCTTACGAAAGTAAAAGACTGGGCAGGCAGTGCAAAATACCCCCAATGAAAGGTAGGGGCGCCGTTGGTACACCAAGAGAAAACACCATAAATGTCCGGGGCCCAAGACTGTTCAACAGCCTCCCACCAGGCGTAAGGGGAATTACCAGTAGGCCCTTGGCTACCTTCAAGAGGGAGCTGGGCAGATACTAAAGTCGGTGCCGGATCAGCCGGGCTGTGGTTCGTACGTTGCACTACGTGCGGCCAGCAGTAACAGCCTGGTTGATCAGGTTCTGATCCACCGGGAGGCCTGGTCGTGGACCGGGCCGCGGGGGCCCGGAATACCCTCCAGGTAGACTCCAGGAAGTCCCAACAGGGGCTTTTTATCAGTCAAGTCCCTGGCGAACGAAACGTCTTCGCAATAAAACGTCATAAATCCACATTGTGTGTGTTATTTACAGGCTGTTGCTATTCCTTTATATTACCATGCTGTCTTCATTCGTCGCCACGAAGATCAAGGTAAGTGCCAATGATTTGACCTATTTTATACTCTGTTATTGTTTTATATTCGGTTATTTTTCCATAACAAGAGTTGCGGAAACTTGACCTTGTTGAACTTATTTTGTGTTGTCTTCTGGAAGACATGGTTGATATGAGCTGGACATTTGATAAGTTCTCGATGGATGTCGCTCTCGTATATATTCTAGTGTCCTTTGCAAAGGATATAGTCATGTGACTGACGTCTCCGTCTATTTCGAATATGATAAAAAAAAGCATTGGGGCGAGTACTGTGCCTTGAGGAATCGAGCTTTTCGAAGTAGCAGCCGATAATTTTACTTTGTTGGCACTTTACTCTTTGCATTCTGTTACACTTTTCTCTTCCCTTCCACCCATGTTCTGCCCTCTATGCATTCTTCTACCCTTTATTTATGCACTTCACCTGTACCCATGCATTATCTCCATGCACTCCCTATCCTGCACCAATATACTGTACCCCTAATTAACGCATTCTATTACCATGTACTCTACCTATCATCTCCCCACGCCCTTCACCTATTTTGTAGCCATGCACTCCATTTATACCCCTGCAAAGTACCTCTGCACCTCACCTATCCAGAGCCCAGGCACTCCCACCTCCGGGGAGTGTAGTTTTAGAGGGCAGCAGATAACCTTAGCATACAGCCAAGGGTCTCATCTTATCTGTTCTCCCCGTGTACCTTTCTTGTTCTCTACTCGTGTTCCCATGTTAGGCCCGTTTTTTGTTCTGGCTACGTCGTGTTCTGCTGCGTTCAAGGTGCGTGTCCCCTCGGCCGCTCCCATGTCTAACATGTCCTGTCATGTTCCTCTCTGCTTCCCTTCACCTCTCTCCCTCCAACACTCTTAATTCTTTGCCTCCCTCCAACTATTACACCCCTACTCCAAACACACGTTTCTCTCTTTGCCTCCCTTCCCCCCTCCAACATTCATTTTCTCCCTTTTCTCCCTCAAACACGTACTCTGCCTCTACAAATCCTAATTAACTCTTAATATCCTCCCCCCCCCTCTCTCTCATTATATCTATACAATAAGATCACAGTAAACAGGTGATATCAGAATATGCAAAAACAACCAATGTGAAGGATAATGAAATTCCAAGCGATTTCGTGACTTCTCACATTATCAAGGGCCTGATCAACGAGGTTGTTAATGCTGGCTGCACGTAGTCCAGTGTACGAACCACAGCCCGGCTGATCCGGTACTGACTTTAGGTATCTGTCCAGCTCCCTCTTGAAGACAACCAGGGGTCTATTGGTAATTCCCTTTCTGGCTGGTGGGAGGCTGTTGAAAAAGTCTTGGGCCCCTGACACTTATTGTGTTTTCTCTTAGTGTACTAATGGCGCCCCTACTTTTCATTGGCGGTATATATTGCATCACCTGCCAAGTCTTCTGCTTTCCTAGGGAGTGATTTCTGTGTGCAGATTAGGGACCAGTCCCTCCAGGATCTTCCAGGTGTAGATTATGATGTATCTCTCTCGCCTGTGCTCCAGGTAATAAAATCTGTCAGCCAGGGCTTGGAGACTTCGGTTAGGGTGATCAGGACACCCATATGCTGGTAGGCGGCTGCTTATCTACCATCTGGTGAGGCCCACATTACACCCATCACCCCCACCCACCGACCATCCTCGTCTTTACCGTCACCTCCACCCACCGACTATCCTCGTCTTTACCATCGCCTCCACCCACCGACCCCCCTCTACTCTCCCATCACCCCCACCCACCGACCAGCCTCTAGTCTCCCATCACCCCACCCACCGACCAGCCTCTACCTCCATCACCCCCACCACCGACCAGCCTCTACTCTCCCATCACCCCCCCCACGACCAGCCTCTACTTCCCATCACCCACCCACCGACCAGCTCTTCTTTCCCATACCCAGCCCACACGACCAGCCTCTATCCCCCACCTCACCCACCGACCATCCTCTTCTTTCCATCACCCCACCCACCGACCAGCCTCTACTTTCCCATCACCCCCACCCACCGACCAGCCTCTACTCTCCCATCACCCTCACCCACCGACCATCCTCTTCTTTCCCATCACCCCCACCCACCGACCAGCCTCTACTCTCCCAAACCCCCACCCACCGACCAGCCTCTACTCTCCCATCACCCCCACCCACCGACCAGCCTCTACTCTCCCATCACCCCACCCACCGACCAGCCTCTACTTCCCATCATCTCCACCCAACGACCAGCCTCTACTTTCCCATCATCTCCACCCACCGACCAGCCTCTACTTTCCCATCATCTCCACCCAACGACCAGCCTCTACTCCCATCCACTCTCCACTTTTTTTCCTTTCTCATGTCTCCTTGTCTTTTCCGTCTTTCCCTTGTCTCCCCTCTCTCGTTCTCTCAAATATCTGTTATTCCCTCTGATTTTCTCACTCCTCCCTTCCCTCCTGTTTCTCTCTCTCTCTCTTTTCTCTCTCTCTCTCTCTCTCTCTCTCTCTCTCTCTCTCTCTCTCTCTCTCTCTCTCTCTCTCTCTCTCTCTCTCCTCTCCCCTCTCTCTCTCTCTCTCTCTCTCTCTCTCTCTCTCTCTCTCTCTCTCTCTCTCTCTCTCTCTCTCTCTCTCTCTCTCTCTCTCTCTCCTCTTCTCTCTCTCACGAAAATTGTGGACGATGGAACCAAAATCAACATCTTTATTTGTGAGGCATTTATTGGTGAGTTGCTGTACCTTCCTACCTGTTGGTGAGTCTAGGGTCATTTGTTATTTCTAGCCCTCATTCTTTTCTTTATAAACAACTCTTTTTCCCCGACGCTGCGGTCACCTTAACATGGTGTTCGGAAGAAAGGGATGCTGCTTCTTCCGGAGGTGAGCCAAGGTTTCTACCGTGTGTTTGTCCAAGAAGCACGTCTGTTATTTGGGCGTAAATGACGGGGAATACTTTCAATTTCGTCAAAATTCGTTCAGACTTGTAGTCTATAATTTGGAACGAATTATGGATATGGCTTGAGGAATGCTAATAGTGTTTTCATTTCCCTGTGATGGTGATTGCTGTAATATGACAGTAAGTTCGTAGCCAAAGTAGTAAGTTAGAGATGATAATAGCAAGTTAGCAAGGCTCGAAGCAAATTGAAAATGTTGGCAGCAAATTGATGAGGTTAGTAAATGTTTATTTTGTAAGCATTGAATAACAACGCGGTTATAGTGCTTTTAAAATCATACAAATCAGACTGGTTAAATCAGGTTATTAAGGAGGTGTAAACTTTGTTGACCCTCAGTGAAACGAACTGGGACAGAAAAATGAAAAGATTAAACGAGGGCTGAGAACTAGAAGCTACTGATGCAAAGCCAAGATACAGTCGTGGGAAAGATAACAGACAAAAGAGAAACAGAGGAGGAAGAGTGTGAGAGATTGGTGTAATAAACTGCAGAGGAAACAAGGTATAGAGTTAAGCACCTGAGTTTCCTGCTCCGTGCTGAGAGGTATATATTGTACAGGTAAAAAAGGGGTATAATAAGCATTATGGGAGCTGGAGTACAGAACTGTGAATGTGAGTAGTGACGAGCGTACCTGAGCAAATGACGAGGAGGGCGGTCAAAATAAGTGGGAGCAGCAGTCGCGGTGAGAATAGTCATAACCCGCTGCATTAGTACTCATGTAATCAACGCCGGATGCTCACTGCCGGCTCCTGCACGCATTAAAAACCAAATGCCGCTCGCAATTGCAAGTGTGTGGGGGTGGGATAGGGACTGCTCTGCGGTATGTGCCTGCGGGGGGAAGAGTTCCGGCTTCTGGCCTCGCCTCTTGACCTCTAAGGGGCCTTCATTTACTTCTGAAGCCAAATATGTAGTTTGTTTAAACTATCCATTTGTTCTTACTTATTTGCAGCTGGTGACCTCTAGCTTTTGGGTTATAACTTTTGATCTTTATTTGACAGGTAGAGTTCTACGCAAACCCCTTTTGGTACCGTCATATGTAATACTTCATGTAAAGGAGTCTGCTTACTGTTAAGGAATGTGATACATCCCAATTATATAATATACATGGAACTCATTCACTGCTTGCACAGGAAACACTAAGAATATACTCTGGAAAACTCAAGTGAGAGATATCATAATAACATGGAAATTACTCTGCACACAAAATAATCCTGTTTTTGAGAGAAAGATAAAGCTTAAAGTTTCATAAGAATCCCAGAGAAAAAGTAAGGCCGTGAGCACCATAAGAGGCCAGTGTGTAAATAT